AAGGGGTGGATGTCAACAGAGAAGTCCTTACAGGGAATCAGACTTACTCTGCTCACCTCTCTGGCTTCAACAGCACAAAGTCTGCTTCGACTATCAAGGCACCCCGGAAATAGCGGGTCACAAGAGTGTGACAAACATACAAAAGAAGTAGAGGAAAATGATGATAGTAAGGATTAGGAAAGAAAAAACAGCAGTTCCCTGTTGTAGTTCAGGCACAGTTGAGTATGACATTGTTACATCAGCCCATTTACAATCCTACTGAGCACTAGAACGAGAAATGTCCCCCCTTTGGGAATGGCCTAAAGACATTTCAGTCTGTGGCACCGCCCCGGGGTGATCCTGACTTTTAGATTTCATAGATTGGCAGGTCTGATTTTCTTTGTGCATTACAGTTGGAATTGATCCCTTTTGTTTTGTCAACTTTATTTTATTTTTTATTGGCTCAACCACCACCACCCTTCCCCCCTCCAAATGGACACAACTCTAATGGTAGTCAATATTACTCATTTATTTTCTTGCTGTTACAAAGAAACCTTAAGTTAATTAAAAAATTGTTAGCATTCAATCATAGTAATGGTCACTCTGTGTGTGTCTGTGTGAATGTGCGTGCGCGCGAGTTAAATGTTTTCTTTCATGCAAAAATTCTTACTATTAAATAAGGAGATAATTGACTTTTACCCTCTAAGTTTCTAAAACAAGGGTTTAAATACCCCTTAAGACAAAAAACCAAAGGGTGAAGAAACCTCTTAAGTTGGTCTGAAAAGGGGAGCCCTGGCCCTGAGTTTAGTTCTGCACGGTGGCAAATTTTAAATCTACGTCACAGCGCGTCTCCCTCAAGTCTGACCATGATCGCACGGAAAATATCAAGCAGCGCTTGATTTCTCGATCGAGTCTCCAAACCATCGTTCAAACGTTCAAATTTTCATTATTTTGTACAATTTTGCGGTTACACCTAACGATTTATAATCGTATGATCGCTATACCGTCCAGTTTTTGTACAGTTAAAATCGTTACGTGTAATAGGGCCTTTAGTCTTCTTCTCAGTTTACGTAGTGTACAGCATCAGATTCAGAATCAATCTGTGTGGAAGAAGGGTGCTGCACAATCACAGACAACCGAACCGAACAGTTCTGCAAGTTGCAAAGAAAATAGTCTACTAATCCGAGTCGGCAGGCTTCCGTCATGCGATCGTGTTGTGTGTTAAAATATGGTGGCTGTGTTGGAGAGGTGCCCGTTTTACACTGTTAAATTATATAGAGAGAGAAAAAACGCAAGGGGGAAAATGGAAAGTGACCGTTTGTACAGGTGGCCATCATTGCAGGTTCCACTGCATTTCTGTCGTATTTTCAATATATCAGAAAAATATTCGGTACAAGTGGATAGATCTAGTTGGAGAACGTTAGGACTACACTGATTATTCTCACCCGGGATACTGAGTCTCAAAAAAATTTTTACTGGTACTGAGGGTAAGTCTAAAGCCATCGTATTTCAGGTATATATGTAAATTTTTCATCAGGTTTCACAATTTTCATCAATTGCAATCTTTAAAAGTGTCTTATGTGCATAACTGTTGTCATCATACAGAATTGTACATTTTGACACAACATCTAGACAAGCTTTGAGCAATAAAATCCAATTACTACAGCTGAAATCGCTGGAAGGGGTTTCCTCCTGAAGACAAAGGAAGTAACATTTGTACGATGGAGTCATTACCGGAAAGGTACTTACTTTACGTCCATGAACGAAGCCCAAATTTGTCATCATCTTGATATATGCACATAAGATGACCAATTAAAAGCGTACTTTTTAGACCGTGACTACTATTTTCGGCCTGGACTAGTAAACAAACTTACTTACAAAGTTCCTATCACCTCATTCGTGCATTGCCTTGGCATTTGAGCAAATGAAAAAGATAAAAAATGAAAATATAATTTCAATGTCATCAGTGTTATGCACGTCAGATTCTGGTGGTTGCCCGGGTGTAGGGACTGACTGGAATGCAAAATGCCGCCTGATGTGAAGTTTGAAAGTATATTCATGGAATAATTGGAAAGTAAAGGGATTCATCTTGTCAAAATCACTTTTTTTGTGTGTGACGTCAAAGCACCAAACTTTTACACCACTGACGTGGGAATTCCAAGATGTGCAGGGACAATTTTGTTTCAGTGAAGAGCGTTTCAAAGCGATTTAGGCTGTAGAAAATGCCAGACATCATAAATTCAGTAATTCCTTTTGTTTCATAAATGCCTAGAGCAATGTAAATTTGAATTAAAAAGAATGACTTCCTAAGATTGTTCAAATATTCTCTTCTTACGCTCATAACTATGATGACCAAAAATGTCTTCATAGTTATGCACAGAAGAAGTTTTTACTTTTATATTTAACAAAATTCTCAAGAAACTACTGTCCTCATACCTTAATATGGCAATTTTTAACTTAATATAGACAGACATTATACAAATTGATATCTCAACAGTGGTGCTTCAAAAGAAGTGATTGGAAAAGAGAACTGTTTTGGTCAGGCTATCTGATGTGCATAACTATGATGACATGTTACATCAAATATCACAAAATCAGGTGGGAATTTTCTTTTTCTTTTTTAAAGGTTTGATTCTGGCGTAAGAAGTAGTAGAGAAACTAACTTTAAACAATGGGGTTGTTCAAATTTTATCACTAGTACTACTAGTAGTGTAGAGATTTCCTATCATCATAGTATGCACATCAGAATCCCAAAGTGACCATCTATCCTCTAAATTTCTTACAAAATATTTATTTTGCTGCTGTAATTGCACTTATGAAAATAACACCAATTACGTCTACATGTATATTCATGGTATTGAAACGTAAATTAAGTAGTTTTTAATTTTTGACTTCATGACATGTCTAGGGGTACCAGGTTTTGGCTCAGGCTCCCCCATGGGTTTTTTTAGGTCAGGAGGACAAGCTTGCCCCTGAACCTCCCTTGCCTTTTTAAATACAAGTGAAATTTTGCTGCTCATTTTGTAGGCTAGATCTACTGAAAAACTTAAAACATTGATACCAATTATTTAAATCGGTATCGATATCCAGTACTTTGTGCTAGGCCTAGTGTGATTTTTTAGGCTAGTGCAGACCGGACCTCAATTTTGTACAGGCGTGCCTGCCCTGGACTGACTCATGACTCAGACTACCCCAGACTGTCCCTAAGACTGTCCCCGTGGTTTTATGCACCCCGCATAATTAAGCAAAATTTGATCTTTTTTTTGCATAATTTCTGATTATTTTCCTTTATCATTCTTTGTTAAAAATTAACAGAATCGCATAATTTCACTTTTTTGGGCTGTTTGCATAATTTCAGAATTTTTCTTGCATTTATAAAACGACGGGGACAGCTAAGAGTGATTTACTTTCGACGTATATTTTCTGTTACAGCAATGCGGAAATATGGCGGTCTTATAATGAGGTTTGACTGTAAATATTGTCTGTTGAGTGTTTGAGTAAATTTATAATATCACATCAGAGTGGGTTGGCGGGTGCTGTGGTGTGGTTTGCTCCTTCTTTTCTACCAAACATCTATCATCCTTATAATCTCACCTCCTTGTTTTTTGAGTTTGTTAATTGTAACACCTCTAATCTTCGTCGACACTTGTGTTGTTGCAAGCTCCGTAAAACTCTTTCTAAAAACAAAGAAAGAGTGGATAGTTATTTAATTTCTTTTCTTTCCTCTTCTAAATGACAGATGGGTAGGAGAAAGAGAAGAGCAGTCTGCTCCCAGAGACCTCCCCTGATTTTTCTGAACAGCCCAACAGACGAACCAGCTCCTCTCCAGTCCCCAGACATGGCGGTAGAGAATCCACTGACTGCCAAGACAGTTCCATTTGATGAAACCATCGCATGGGTATTACTACATTTCTTCTTTTTTTTTTTATTATCAGGGGTGATGTCATTATCAGCTGTTATTTTCCCACTGTTATTTATGATAAATTTCCGTTGTTTCCACTGAAAAGAACAGCCTTTATTCTCACCATTTGGTGGGTGATCTGGTGTGGTTTGCTCCTTGTTTCCTACCAAACATCTTCTATCGTCCTGATCTCTCCTCCTTTTATGTGTTTGTTAGCTGGGCCCCCTTTCGATGAAAGGATTGATCGGTGCATTAACATCAACTGAAAGTCATTAGCCTATTATATTTACACTCTACTGGAATGGAGCAATAAATCTTGAGAGAAAAGTGACACATGTGTTTCCAAGTTGCCAAATATATTATAATAGATGTTATAGATCGATTGTCTACTCCGCTTTCGTGGTTGTACACTCCAGAGTTTCAAAGGTGTGCAATCAGTGTCGCACGGCAAGTGAATGGAAACCTCACTGACTTGTTTACAGTGGCGTCTTAGAAGACGGACTTTCCCAAGATTAGAACTCTGTGTGGACGAAACAAAGCATTTTGGAAAAATCGGGGAAAGCAGTTTGCGTGGATTTTTTAAAGTTAAGTCCTAGCCACATGGATGCTGTGAACACCTGCAAAGTTTCAAAGGTGTGGGTTAGGTAATAAGGGAGGAGTTTGTGCACAAGGCCTTCCAAGAATCCAAATCCACTTTCATAAATAGATTATAAATATCTCGTAACGCCTCTAATCTTTGGCACTTATGACCTTATTGTATTGCAGGTGCTGTAAAACTCTTACTAACACAAACTCTCAACTTTTGTTTTCTGTTGAACCTGATATTAGTTCAAGTGTCTGTTGAGTGGCTTTTTTGCTGCTGCTGCTGTTGTCGCTAAAATGTGACTTTTTAAATTTCCAGTTATATAAATTTTCACAAATTTGCTAGTGGCACCCCTGGATCTTGTACACCGGTGATAAAATAGCAATCGTATGTGCTGGAATTTGGTCAATTACTAGTCCTCATTTAAAATGTCAGTGTAATAATAATTAGGCTTAATTATTGATCATGCTGGACTATGGAGCGGATGGCCTGGTTCAAATCCCAGACAAAGCGTTCTTGAACTCGGGTCATTTTGAGGAGCTTTCAAGGCTCTCAACAAACCAATTAGCTTGATATTTTTTGGAAAGGAGGAAGTTTGGAGATCCTGTCTCTTAAATAACTTAAGTGTTGAAAGGGCAGTAAAAGCATACACTTATGTCAGATATAATTGCCCTGACCTAATAGTAAAGGTGGTGGGTTCTATTTTCCTTCATATGTTCGATAATTACATTCCGTAAGTTAATTACATTATTTTCTCCGAAATTGTTGGTCTTATTGGTGGTTGTATAATGTAGATGAAGAAAATGTCAGACTATAAAGATTAATTCATGAATAGAAGAGATGTAGACCTACACCTGGAATAGAAAATGACGAGAGTTGTCTACTGAATTGTGTCACGACAGTGGAATCAGGCGCTCATCAATTTTTGGGCATATGGAGTTATTGACCAGTATAATCTTAAAGCTTGTTCATTTGTCTTGCTTTTGATGAAAAAATACCTACCTATTCTAATCTTGAATAGAAGTCAAAGATTGAAGTAGGTGGGGGTCACCTGGTGTCAGAGGTACAATTAGCAAGAAAATGATCACCAAAATTTGGTGACTTCCAAAGCTTGAGTGTCCTGGGAAACTGCAAATTTACCATTTTCCAGCCTTCTGTCAATCGCAATGTTCTTCACAGTATAATCCTCTCAGAAATGTGATTTTAAATGGACTTAAAGATGTTGCACAAAAATTTTTTTTTATAAAAATTGCCCAACGGGAGGGGAAAAGGTTGATTTCTTTCATTTTGTACTTTTGATGAACGTCTTATGTCACCGCAATGACACACAGTTTGTTTTTCCTTTATTAATGGTTATTTTTTCTTTTTGGCGCAGGTCTCCCCACAGTTTCGGAACACAGAGCCATACTACTGCCAGCAGAGAGGGAGGAGACAGCTTCGTCAGAATTACGCTTCGGAAACTTTCAAGACGAGAAAGTCCAAATTTGTTCCTCTGGAGTTTGTCCACGAGACTTATCCTAGTCCTAGCCCTCGGAGAGAAGGAAAATCCAGAAACAGTTGTGACGGTCAAGGGGGAAAAAACAACACAAGTACAGTGAAAACTGTTGCATCCAAGACTTTGGACTGTTTTTTCACACGCTCATCCATGAACTCTGTACACCCAACAAGAGCAGACCCTGGCAAAGAAAACAGTCAAGAGAACGTTCAGAGGTCGGTTGTTGAAGGCTTTTCACCACCACCACCACCACCCACTGTACAAGACAATCCAGGCTCTACGGCAAAGCGGAATGAGAGAGTTGTGCATAATTGTGATGTGTCGAAGTCTGCCTCTGATTCCTTAATATCTGTCCCAACACATGTTCCGTTGGATGACGATGGTGATGATGGACAGAAGGAGAAAGTTGTGAGTCAGAATGATGTGTCAAAGTCTGCCTCTGAATCTGTAGAGAGAGCTGTTTCCATGTTTGTCCCAACACACATTCCTTTAGTAGATGATAACGACGATGATGATTGTGGTGATGAGCAGAATGGGCAGCAATCAAACCAAATTCAAGTGAGAAATTGTCTGTCTACCGAAACTGAGAGTGAATATAATAATGTCTGTGATCCGGCTAGAACTGGTCGTCCCGCGATGTGTGGGGCGACGCTGCGGCGGTGTACTGGCACTGACAGTCCTCCGCGCTGCTCTCAGCCCGACCTCGTGCTCGCAGTTGACACTCCTAAAGGCGAATACGGGCTATCTCACAGGCAGAGGCAGCTGAAATACGTGAAGTATGGACTGCGTAACGCCATAACGTGAAGCCTTCTGTCTGTATGTCTGTTTGTCTGTCTCTCTCTCCCTCTCTCTCTCTTCCTCCCTCCCTCCCCCCCCCCCTCTCTCTCTCTCTCTCTCTCTCTCTCTCTCTCTCTCTCTCTCTCTCTCTCTCTCTCTTCCTCCCTCCCTCCCTCCCCCTCTCTCTCTCTCTCTCTCTCTTTCTCTCTCTCTCTGGTCTCTCTCTTTGATCTGGCAAGAGTGCAGCTGTGTTTTGTGTCGATCTGTGATTTTCTTGGTTGTTTCTAAATTCCCGACAGATATTGTGTCGATATTGTGTGTGACAGTGAGTATTGGGTTGTGAAGAGTGCTTGTTTGCAATTGGTGTGTTTGTCCGGTCTGTGAACAACGAGTGTTTGTCGAATTTCCCTTGTTCTGCTATCTGTGAAGTGAAGAGCGAAACAGTCTGACATTTTTATTTTGTGAGTAGCCCACAGTTTGTTCCGAAAGCATGGAAAATCACGAGTCAAGGGAAATAAGCTTGGAGATCCTAGAGGAGCTCAAAGCCTTTCGAAAGTACAGTGAGAACAACTTTTCTGAAATAAAAAATGAGATTAAGAACTTTAGAGCAAAGTTGGAGCGCTTCGAGATAGAAATAGCCTCAATAAAAAATTCAGTTTGTGAAATTAAGGAACAGCAGCACGTGCAATGTCTTGACATAGAAGAAGTTGACTCGAAATGTGCTGCACTGCAGGATAACGTTAGTAGATTGGAAGGGGAGATGGAAAAGGCAGAAAGGTACAGTAGGAGGGAACATTTAATGTTCTATGGTGTGCCGGAGGATTTGAGGTAGGAGCCGCACACAGCAAGAACAAAGGTAGTGGAAATACTTGGAAAAGTGACGGAGAAAAGCTGGGAAGATCGTGATTTCACACGGGTGCATAGAGTGGGGCCCAAGAGGCAGAAGGACCCCCCCAGGCCTATTATTGCAAGGTTCCAATATTCGGAGGACAAATTCCTTGTTTTGGGTGCAAGAGAGGAACTAAAGGGGCAGGGGGTGAGTGTCGCCGGTGATCTCACACCGCGGCAAAGAGAAGAACTTAAAGACCTGAGAGCAAAGGGAAAACGTGATTTTTTTTTAAATGGAAGACTTCACGTGGAAGACGTCACCCATAGACAAACACAACACGGCCAGCAGTCACCACCACAGGACAACAGCCAGTCGCGCCGACCCGAGCCCTGTGAGCAACGACAACAGCAGAGGGTCACCCGCAGTCAGTCGGGGAGCGGTGGTGAGGCAACGGGGGGCAGGGACAGTGGTGTTACCACAAGGAGACAGCAGGGTCCGTCTTCAGCTTCGACAACAGCAAGAGAATAGGAACACGGCTGGCCCAGACTTGCGACAACAATAGATAACACCCAAGCAATGTTTTTAAAAATTATGTGTTGGAATGTTCATATTCATGGCATATCGCAAAAATTGTTCAACCTTGATTTTGTCCACTTTTGTTCGTCGTATGACATTTTTGCTTGCTCTGAGGTCTACTCATGTAGCGAAGAAAAATTGCTCCTCGCCTTTCCCCAGTACAATATTTACTCTTCAAAACGTGAGCACGGGTTAGGTGGGGGTGTTGCTGTTTTTGTTCGTCGGTCGTTAGGTACCCAAGTCACAAAGCTAGAAATTTCTATGAAAGAATGTGTTTGTTTACTGTTGAAGGAGACCTGTTTACAAACAGATCGTACAGTTGTCCTATGCTTCCCCTACCTCCCGCATGAATTTTCGCCTGTGTTTAACAATGAAAAAGTTAAAGGTATACAGTCTCTTGTGAAGACATATCATGATATTAGCGATAAGTTAGGAGAAGTTGAGTGGATCATCGGAGGGGATATGAATGCTAGGACAGGACGTCTAGGGGATAACTTTGTTGAAAATAACGTACATGAACTTTTGTCTGGTTTTGCAGAAACGGATGTTTTAGAAGAAATTTGTACCCAAAGAAAGTCACGGGACGCTTCCTTTACAAATAGTTATGGAAAGCAATTAGTTAGTTTCTGTAAAGAAAATTCATTGTACATTGCGAATGGCAGGACACCGGGAGATGAGGAAGGGAATGTCACATGCATTGCTAATAAGGGAAAAACAATTGTTGATTATGTTATTGTGAGCAAGGGAATGTTTGAGAAGATCTTTAGTTTTTCTGTCATGCCAAGGCCAGATTCAGATAATTTCCCACTGTCAGTGTTGTTTAAAATTTACATTGAACATGATGACACTAGTGAAAATGTTGAATGTGAGATTGAACTTAGCCGGTTGTTGCGGCTCACGTGGAAAGAAACAACGAGAAGCACTTATGTTGAAAAGCTTGAATCATTATTAAATGAAGAACATGATATGTTTTTGTCATATATTTAAGTCTCAATGATGTTGGCTTTGCCTGTAATGTTCTACAGCAATGCATTAAAATATCAGCAGGAGACATGCAAACCAATAAGCAAAAGAAAGGAAAGCATAGTAAGCTTCATCAACCAATGTGGTGGGATAACGAATGTGAAAGGCTAAAGAAAATCAAATATCTTCACCTCCACGATTTCCACAGAACAGCTCAAATGGTCTGGATAAATTCCTTGAAGCAAAGAAAGACTTTAAGGAGATGTGTGCGTTAAAAAAGAAAATCTGTGATGCCCAGACAGTAGAAAGTTTAAAACAAGACCTTGCTGATAAACGATCAAAATCATTTTGGCAAAAGGTTAATAAAATGATGCGTACTCGTGACTCATTTAATGCGGCTAAGGCCACACTGGAGCAATTTTATTGTCACTTTAAAGACTTGCTAAATCCCAGAAATAATGAATCATCAGAGGATTTATTACAGACACAAGTTGATCATGAAATAGTTTTAACAAATGAGGATTTAGACACAAATGTATACCTGTATGATAATGAAATCATGACTTCTGAAGTTCAAAGTGTTCTGAGAAAACTGAAGAAAGGAAAGGCTAGCGGATGTGACGGGATTGGTCCTGAATTCTATTCTAATGCATGTCCTTCCTTGATAATATACCTGTGTTTGTTGTTTAATGTCATTTTTAACACAGGGAAGTACCCAAAAATGTGGTGTCAAGCACTGATACATCCTATCCTCAAGAAAGGAAGTCCTTCAGATGCAAACAACTACAGGGGCATTGCACTTCTAAATATCATATCCAAGATAATGTCTAGTATATTGCATTCACGACTAGTGGAATGGGCCGAGCAGACCAATGTAATTCCAGAATCGCAAGCAGGGTTTCGTAAAGGTTATAGCACTATCGATCATATCTTCTCGCTTCAATCAATAGTCCAAAAGTACCTTTCAAAGAAACGTGGGCGCTTCTATGTACTTTTTGTTGATTTTTCCAAAGCATTTGACTGCGTCCCCCTTGAAAAACTGTGGGCAGTCTTGAGGAAAAGAGGCTTGAGAGGGAAAATGTTAACATTACTACAAAGTATGTACTTGGAAGTTATGTGCTCTGTCCGTACTGGCCAGCATGAAATTACGGAATACTTTAATTGCTTGTTGGGTGTTCGTCAAGGATGTATTCTTAGCCCACTTTTGTTCAATATGTATGTTTCTGAATTTGAATTGATGTTGAAAAACAGTGTTGTTAAAGGAGTTGAGCTATTAAGCAATGATGAACAAACTTCCAGAGTGAGATGTAAAAGATATGAGCACTTGAATGTCCAAACTTTGTTCAACATTTTTGACATCAAAATTAAGCCATTACTTTTGTACGGTTGTGAAGTATGGGGGGTGAAGAAGTATGATAAAATAGAGCAGGTGCACGTTAAATTCTGCAAGGCCGTCCTAAACATTGGTAGAACGTCCGCAAATATATTGGCAATGGGGGAATGTGGACGTCATTATTTGTATGCCACTTATCATCTACGAGCAATAAAATATTGGTATAAATTTCTGGTAATGGATAATAATAGGTATGCTAAGAAATGCTATTTGCAAGCGTATGCACATGACCAAAATAATCGGTACAGCTGGGCCACTGTCATGAGGAAACTTTTATGTACAATAGGGTTTGGATATGCGTGGATTTTTCAAAATGTTGGTGATAAGAATATTTTCCTATCTAAAGTAAAGGAAAGACTTATAAATATTACTCACCAGGACTGGCGTTCTAGGGTGTCTAGCGTTTATCCTGAGTACCTGGACTTTCACCCTACGTTAAGCCCTGCACCGTACCTCTCATTCACCATCTCTGCAAGAGGTAGAAGGATCCTTGCATTACTCAGAACTTTCAGTTTGTCGTTGAAAAATAATCTGTTCCGGTTGGGTATTGTCGACAGTAATCGTTGCCTCCAGTGTGATAAAAAGTATGTAGAAAATGAATTCCATGCATTGTTCAGATGTTCACGATATAATGAAATACGAGAGCAGCTTTTACCAGAGTGCGTCCCATCAGACTTCAGACACCCGAAGGGCCAATGTCTAAGCTCAATGGCATATTAGTCTGTTCAGATGAAGTCCATTCTAAAATGATAATCTCATTCCTAAATTATGTTGTTATACGGACACATCTGTCCTAGGGAAAAGGTATTCACTCGATATGTAACTCTGTATCTCTACTGTAATGTGTACTATTTTATATGTATATGTGTATGAAAAAAACAATGGTATTCACTTCTCAGAGTGAAACATGTCCCGATTTCTCTCGCTGCCTCATTCATAGCATTGTGTGGAAGTTCTATTTCTGTTTGCTCTTATGTATGTATGTATGTATGTATGTATGTATGTATGTATGTATGTGTGTATGTATGTGTGTGCGTATGTATGTGCGTATGTATGTATGTATGTGCGTATGTATGTAAGTATGTGTGTGAGCATGAGTGTGTATGTGCGTGCATGCGTGTATGTGGGCGTGCATGTCCAATTTATGTTAAACATCCAATGTGCTGCACCAATGTATGTAATTGCCGAACCATATGTTAAAATATGTGGATGTATGGGCCAAAGGCCTTTCAAGTCAATATAAATCATTTTGAATCTTTGAATCTCTCTGTCTCTCTCTTTCTCTCTCTCTCTCTCTCTCTCTCTCCCCCTCCCTCTCTCCCTCTCTCCCTCTCTCC